ATATGCAATCTCGTGCAATTATATAATCATACTCTTATGCAATCTAGTGCAACAATATACTCATACTCATGCAATCTAGTGTAATAATATAGTCATACTCGTATGCAATCTAGTGCAACAATATACTCATGCTCATATGAAATCTAGTGCAATAATATAATCATGCTCTTATGCAATCTAGTGCAACAATATATTCATACTCATATGCAACCTCGTGCAATTATATACTCGTACACTCATTTATAAATTAGAATACTTTCTGTGGAGGTCTCTTTGTTACTTTCTCGAGTCTCTCTTGACTCTCTTTCTTTCTCTGGAGTCTCTCTTGACTCTCTTTCTTTCTCTCGAGTCTTTATTGACTCTCATACTTGAGTCTCTGTTGACTCTCTTTCTTTCTCTTATACTCGTAGACGGCTTAGGGTTTCACAGAAGTGTGACTCACCCCATCGGGAACGGCATAATTCTAACCCAATATCTCTTACCGTCTACGGAACCAATCTCGTGGTTCAAATTCTGTGGAATCAGGTATCGAACTATTAGTGTGCACACCCCCTAACCAGGACTCCAAGCCTGACGGGAAGTTTCCAACCTCGTAACGTGGGAATACGCCGTGTTAAATATACTGGGACCGCAATGTTCATAAATATCTCCCGAGAGGAACATAGTCCAAACGGTATCCTCCAAAACCTCACCGATATAGATAATACATAAATATATCTCTCATGCATCAATCTCATGCATGCAACAATTCTAATACTTCTCAATGCATCAAAGAATGATATACCACATGCTTATGGTTTTTGAAAGTATTCTTGGACTCACGTTGGCCCTTTATGCATTTTTAAAATATGACTCATGTGAAATGTCAAAATGCTCTATAGCATGCTTCTAAATCATGTATAAACTAACATGAAGTATTCAAAAATATATCATCATGCTCGGTTTGCAACATAGCAATTTCTATACATTTCACTCAACAAATATGCTTCTATTCTCATTGATCAAATAACACAATTTAATCATGCTTTCATAATAGATCATATTCTCAAAGGATCATGCTTCTTTACTCAATAAAGTATCTTCAGATCACAATAATCAAATAATTCTTCATACACAGTAAACTAGCAAATTATTCACTGTGTAGCAATTCTTCACATAATCCTTCATAACATACTTGTTTTTAATCCAAATTCAACGAAATCAAAGCCAAAACGTGCGTCGAGACAATCCCGAAGAGTCGAGCCACAAGGGCCCGTAACACTCGGTCCGAAATGACACGTAGCTGAGCCACAAGGGCCCGGCCACTGCACAAAAAAAAAATCCTTCACAGACAATACTCACGGACCTGGGCGGGACTCTTCATGGTCCGCCCCTGGAGCCCCGTTGATGCGCCGGGACTAGGAAACGACCCTCCTCTAGGGTCGTGCCCTAGTCCCGTGCCTCCACGGCTCTAGCTGGCGGCCCTTCTGATGGGCCGCGGCTTGAGCCGCCACTCTGATCTGGTGCACACTGTGCTGTGCACCAGATAGCATTTCTCCTGCAAAATCTCATCCAAACAAGTCCAAAACAATCTCAACAACTCATAAACACATGCTCAAACACTTCCAAGCATAAACACATCAAAAACTCATAGTTTCTACTCATTTCTACTCAAAACTAGGCTTCACAGAGCCAAATTTAAAGAGGAATCCATGGGGTTATACCTCTTGTAGTCTAATCTTCTTGCTTGGATCTCTTCTTCCTCTTGACCTAGCTTGAGCCTCCTTCACCACCTACACATCTTCTATCCTTAGCCTAGAACCTCAAAGACTAAAGAAAACTAGAAGAGAAAAGAGGCTAGAATGAAGGATGAACAAGCTTACTAGGTTGTTGTCTCTCTTCTTGTTCTTGGCAGACAAAATTGTGAGGAAGAAGCAAAGAATGAGTTCAGGAAAATGAGATGAAATAAGGTGGTTTATATAGGGTTCAAAACCATAGGATGATTCACAATGATTGGTTGAGGGCAAAGGGGTAATTTCCCAAGCTAAAAGATGAATCAATAAGGGATTTTGGATGTCTTGTGGTCCACCATGTAACATGAACCATAGGCTAGAAATGTTATCTTTTATTACTTTGGGGTTGAAAGTGAATTTTCCCAAAAGCTATATGGATGAACACTTGTTCAAAATTCCCTTTTGAATTCTCCTGGTCTCACTCAGATAAAATTCTCGATTTAAATCTTGGTACGCAAAGTACCCGAAAACTTAGGGATTTTCGAATAGAATTTATTTCTTCGGTGTTGAATTAATTTTAAAATGGGACAAAAATTATTTTATTCATACACCAATTGATCAAAAAAAAATTAATGGAGTGAAAAAGCTACTTTGGGATTTCTTAATACTGGATTTATAAAATGAAATTTTGGGTTGTTACACTTGTTTTTCAGTTTCATCATCTCGGTTGGATGTTTTTCTCACTTGAGTATGTTCTGTCAACTCTTTTCCACTTCTCAATGTAATTGCACTTACATTTTGCTTTGGATTCACAATAGTTTGTGATGGCAACTTACCTTGAGACTCCAATCTACCCACGGTAGATGCTAGATGGCTCATTTGACTTTCCAAGTGTTGAATACTTGTTCTTGTTTCTTGCTGAAATTGTTGTGTGTTAGTAGCAAGTGCCTTAACAATATCTTCCAACGACATACCCGAATTAGAAGATGAAGCTTGTTGTTGTGGAATAGGTTGAAATTGTGGGCATGCTTTATAGCTGAAATTTGGATGATCCCTCCATCCTGGGTTTTATGTATTTGAGTAAGGATCATAATTCCTTTGGGGTGGGCATGGAAATCCTCCAACTGCATTGCCATCCTCACAAGAGTTGTATTGAAGCGTCGGGCACATGTCAGTTGGATGGCCAGTAACAGCACAAATCCCACAAGCTTTTACTTGTTGCACTTTTCCTACAACTAACTGTTGAACAAGAGTAGTTAATTAAGATAATTTATTGTTAAGGGAAGAAATATTTATCTCATTCACTCTTCTTGAAGATGCATCTTGTCTACATCCAAACTGTTGTGAATTGGCAGCTATGATAGATATCAAATCTCTAGCTTCACGAGGACTTTTGTTCACTATAACACCTCCACTAGCTGCATCCATCATATTTCTCTTCATGGGAAGCAATCCTTCATAGAAGTATTGAATGAGGAGTTGTTCAGAAACTCCATGTTGGGGCAACATGCACACAGTTGCTTGAAGCGTTCCCAGTACTCGTGGAGGGTCTCTATGTCTCTTTGCTTGATGCCACATATTTCCCTCCTAATGCTAGCTGCTCGTGATGCTGGAAAAAAACTTTTCAAGAAATAGTCTTACCATATCCGTCCATGTGGTTATTGAGCTAGGAGGGAGGTAAAATAACCAATCTTTTGCTCTCTCGGCTAATGAAAATGGGAAGGCATGCAGTTTGATTTGATCTTCCGTCACTCCTTGTGGTTTGAAGCTTGAGCACACCACGTGGAACTCCTTTAGGTGCTTATGTGGATCTTCATTTTCAAGACCACGAAAAGTTGGGAGTAATTGAATCAAACCTAATCTTAATTCAAAACCAACCTCTAAGGCAGGATGTTGAATACAAAGTGGTTGTTGATTCACATTTGGTGCAGAAAGCTCCCGCAAGGTCCTTTGTTCTTCAGTCATTGCTTGACCTACTCCGGAATTGCAACAAGAGGCAGTCGATTTAGTTGTGGTATTTGATTGAAGGGATGATGATGAAAGGGCTTCATTTTTTGCGCAATTTAGTTTCTTTCCGCAACCATTTAGCAGTCTTCTCGATCTCAGGATTGTATTGCAATTGACCTGTACGAGAAGAACGTGGCATAAAAATAAATCTATTTGACACCAATCCCCGGCAACGGCGCCAAAAATTTGATGGGTGTCGAATCCAACAAATAATAAATTACTTACTCTTAGGAATTGCAATAGCGATGAGTAAGGTCATACCCACAGAGATTGGTTAGACTTATTTTTAATCAAAGATTTAATAAAGAATGAGATGAGAATTGGAAATTAAATAGCAACAATAAAAAGGCAAACAATATGAAATATCAAATAATCAATAGCAACTAGTATCAAACTCAAGGCATAATATCAATTTAATTCTAACAAGACAGATCATTGATTTCAAGACAAAATTACTCTACTCTTACCAAATTGGTTATGGTTATTAACAAGCTCTAACAACCTATCTTTCCTTACTTTGTCGGTAATCAAAACAGGCTCTTTGATTACTTCCCTAGCTAAGAAACAACCCTAAACAAGCTCTTAGGATTTAATTTACTAACAGCATTAAAAGAATTAGAAAGACTACCAATTCTAGCCAACAAACTCGCAATCACGATTCATTTAAGCTAGATTATACATCTCCATAACATAGATTGAAAATCTCTTTTATAATCAACTATGTTATTTTACCACTAAGGTTTAGAACACTTAAACAATTACGGATTCAAGCATTCTAAATGGCAATTTACTAAATTAAAAATTGAACAACGGATCCTTCTCGTACAATTAATCAAAGCAGTAATAGCAAGATAATAGAAGACATATAAATAATAAGAGATAAAGATAAATTAAGCTAAATAAATCTCACTGGACTTGAAGAATCAAATATCAATAAACCCTTGAATTCGAAAATTAATTAAAACTCAGCAGTACATTACAGGCACTGTTTACAAAGAAAAATAAAATTATTCTCTGAACTGACTTTCTTCTACTGAAAAATTCAACCCTATTTGTACTTGTTCAGGCTTCCAAAAATAGCCCTAATTGACCCTAATTTTCCTAACATCCACAAAATAAAATCAATTTCTTCAACCACATAAAACTTAGAAAATAAACAATCTTTATTTTCCTAATTTCTGAGAAACCACAGAAACACAGTAGAACAAGCTCCAGCCTCTAATTCACTTTGTAGGAATTTGTGGATGTTGTTCGTAGAAGTTGTCTCAACCGTGGAGTCCTTCATCGCAGCAGTTCACGGACGTCGCAATCGTCGGTCGAATCGCTCGTTGCAGCAGTCGCCGATGGAGTCGTACGTCGCAAACTCCGCTGTAATTCTCGGACGCACTTCGAAGAAGAAGTCTCGCCTTTGCTGTCGCCGATTTTGCTGAAGTCCACGTACAAGCTAAAGAAACCAAAAGAAAAAGGAAATAAACTAAATGAGGCTTGGGATGCTGATAAAATAATTAAAACATTTAGTTGGGCTAACTAATTAAACAAACCAATCATTATTGTGTGGACCATGGTCCACACAAGTTGTGTGGACCATATTTTGTCTATTGTAAAATAATGTACATTCAGTAGAAAAATAATGTACATTCAGTACAAAAATAATGTACATTTTATTCAGGGGATGTACATTATTTTTGTTCTGAGTGTACATTATATTGTATAATGTATATTCAGTACAAAAATAATGTACATTTAGTATATTAAAAATGTACGTTTTGTTCTGGTCCATATAACATTGTGTGGACCATGGTCCACACAATAATTTTCCTTAAACAATCAAAAAGAACGAAAAGAGTTAGCGCATTTTAATTCCATCTAACTCAATTCTTATTAATTAACAAATATAATATATATATTCCTAATGGCCCAAAATCATCTTTAGCCCTAATTATTTAAATAATTAACATATTAGTTCAAAATAAATGTGATATTAAATTAATTTATTATAAAAATAATATAAATTAAATATAAAAAATAGTGCTTATCAGAAACTCAAGACCTGTCAAACCCCATTCGGAGCATTTCATGTTCTAGAAAATTCCACTCTACCCTATCATACGCTTTACTCATATCTAAATTTAAATCCGCATACTTCTCTCCCCTCACACCCCTTTGTCTATTAAGAGAATGATTAACCTTATAAGCCACTAAGACATTATCAACTATTGACCGCCCTGGAACAAAAGCACTTTGAGCCTCCCCAATAAGTCGACCCAAAATACCCTTTAGACTATTCGCAAGCACCTTCACCACAATTTTATGAATAACATTACATAAAGCAATAGGGCAGAAGTCACTCATACTCTCTGGATAACGCTTCTTAGGGATAAGAACAATATGAGTACTACTAATACCCTATTGCAGGACTCCATCCTGTACCACCCTCCTAACAGTCTGAACAACTTCCTCTCCCATAATGTCCCAATACTCCTGATAAAACCCCGGGTTCAAACCATCGGTGTAACACCCCAAAATTTTTACATTTTTAAAACTTATATAATAAAGGTGAATTCTCATTAAATCCCAAAATCAACATAAGAGCGCGGGGTGCTATGCCACATCTGAGCTGGAGAACTCAGATGCACAGGCTAAGTAACTAAAATCCTCAATACAATGTCAATACATAATCATAGCACGCAGGCCGTAGGGAAACTAACTATTCTATGCTTCGGATCTCTAGCGCGTTCCGGGTTTATTCATCGGTGCATAAAAGCCAAATATATCTGTTTAGCGAATGATGCTGGTAACCCACTCCAACGCGTTGAAATACAATATAGATAGATATATAAAGATATATGAAAACCATTTTGAAGCAGGAAGATATATACTTAAGAGACTCTAGCATTAAAACCAGGAACAGACACACTGCTGGCCCATCACTCGGTGGATCGTAGCCAGCCGTAGCCCTACACACCGCCTGATTACTCAGCTCGGTGGACTACAGCCTTCCTAGGGCTTATTGGCCCTACACACCGCCTGGCGCATCCAGGTCGGTGGGTCATAGCACCCGAGGCCCATGTGGACCGCAGCCCAAGAAGTGAATCACTAATTGTAGCCAGGAGGATGAACTGCAGCTCATAAGTAACCAACAGTGGACCGCAGCCCTATATAATATTTATATACTTGACCGATCGCAACCGGCCTGGTTAACAGTTGGGATGGTTCTCAACCCATCCAACTGCCCGTATAGCCAATTTGATCGTAACCAAATTGGGGAATCATGCATCACATAACACACAATAACACATAATAGCACATTGGGAGGGGGAGACATATAAATAAGCTTACGTGTGATCATTCTCATACTAAGAATAGTCCTAAGGCGTTCATACGACTTCCACCTAGGCCAACGGGTTACCGATTCGACTAGCATGTAATTCCTAGAGTCTTTTATCCTACTAACGGCACCCGAAACATCAAACTAGACTCAAGCACGACAAACGGGGTCCGTTGGGACACCACGGGGAATGGGGAACATCAAACGGGGGAGCCAAAGACCCGGGGTGGGTGACAAACCAGCGGGTAGCCGGTGGGTGGAGGGCCACCCTGTGACACCCCAAAAATCCACACTCAAAACCATGAATTAATTGAGTAATTAATTCTATTTCTCTTGAGGAATTGATTCCTAAAATCCTGATTTTTGATACTCAAGGACTAGTATTTGACTAGTCAATCTTTAAGTGGTGTTGTACCTTGTGCTTTGAGAGGAGTTCCCTTGTTCCTTACACTTTCTAAGAGTTAGTAAGGGTATCCTTGTCTTTTCACCAAGAGCTGGTTTTGTAACCTAAATCTAGAAGACTTCTTCATTTCATTCCCTTACATTTCCTAGAAAATATCTCTACCTTCTCTCTAGAAAACAAGAGTAGCTTGTTCTTCAATCCAAAAGAAGCCTTTGTCAAGATTCCAAGTTTTGCTTCCAAGATTCAATCTTTCCTCTATTTTGGCATCTAGAAGGGTAAGATCTAAGCTTGTCTAGTCTTTTTGGTTCCATCTTAGTTGTCTTTTTCTTAAAGGTTGGATCTTTATGATCTTTTGGTTTGATCTTGAAGTGGGTTTGGCTAGTGAGCTTAGTGGAGAGCTTGTTGTGGTGTAAGAAGAGTCTTTTGGTCTTCAAGAGGTAACCCATGCTCTACAAAACCTATTTTGCTTACCTATATTCGATTTCTTGGCTTTTACATGTGTTTTGCTATGAAATGTGAGTGTTTATGCATTTATCTTGTGATATTGCATATCTAGAGCTTGTGTTTAGGTTTTCTTTGTGCCATTGCTTGGCATTTTCCTTGGTTCAAGTCATTTTGTTGTGCTTGGTGAGATTTGGCATGTTTTGGACTTGAATTTGTGTTTGGAGGAGAAAATCCCCGAAGGGATTTGTTATGGTACAGGGACGTACCCGCGGGCGGAACGGCGGGCGGGGCACCACCCGCTGGCCTACCCGCGGGAACGTATGCCTTGTGGGTGTTGTACCCGCGGGCGGGACCACGGGTGGGGCACTACCTGTGGGTCCACCCGCGGGGAACACGGTGGCGTTTGGTTCGGGATTTGTTCCCCGTGATTTGTTTGTCTTGGTCTTTGATCTTTTGGCTTCCCGTTGTTCTTTTGTGGAACTATTTGAGCGTCTTCTTGATGTTTCGTAGGTCTAGAGCTTTATGGTAGGTATCCATGTAGGATCTTTGGTGTTGTGAATCGTGCTAAGTGTTCAACATTGTGTTTCGTTGAACCGTGTGGTGTCTTGTGTGTTCCTCGGAACTATCTTGAGTATCCTCGTTGTTGAGCTTGCTAGTTATTATCCTAATGCTAGCGTCGTTGTTGTCGATGGGTGGTGACCTGTCTCTTGTTTGAGTATGTTTCGTACCTCTTTTGCAATTCGTTGCTTGTTTGGTGTGAGTGGTGGCGCGTGTGTGGCTTTACCTGGATTGCACGATTAGTGGTATGGGACGCTAGTCACCAAGGTATTGCAGCGGTCCTCGTGGTGGCCGTGACGTGATTTTATGGAGTTGTGGCTGAGTCCACGTGTTTGGGGGATAACATTGTGTTATCCGGGCATGTGTTGCCGTGAATTGGTGGGTTTTCGTTGGTGGTTATAGGTGGGGGACGACGGTCCCGGAGGAATAAGGTTGGACTTGGCTGTACAGGGGCTTTCTGGAGGTAATGGTTGGCACCGAAGGTACAAGGTTGGGGGTAGCCATAAGGTTGGAACAGGGCATAAGGAAGGCATATCAACTCGTGATGTGTGATGTCACGAGGGCTTGTGAAGCCGTTGTTGTGGTGAGTTCTCTTCTCCTGTATTATTCAAGTGGCTGTTTTTCCCCCTAAAATGTTAAATGGACATATTTACTCTTTATTTTTCTTCTCCAACAAATTATGACCACAATTTGGTTCAAACCAAACAGACACTATAGAAACCAAACCAAAATATTCTAATTACAATTTAGAATCGAAACCCGATATTTAGATTTTATTAAAACCGCGAACCGGGACGACCGGTTCATGTTCCAAACTGAAAAAAATAAAATACATTTATTTTTGAATTTAGACTATTTTAAAATGAAAAATAAAATTTTAAAATAAAGATGGTTCAAAATCGCAAACCGAATCCGGAACCGCCGGTTCACAGTTCAGGATCCAGTTTTTTTCGATTCATAATTTTAATAAAATTGAAATCCAAATATTGGGTTCTGGATCTGAATCATAACCGGAAACTTTTAATTCGATTGCTTTAGTGTCCGTTCAATTCGAATCGAACAGTGGTCATCCCTACATATACGCAATAATTTGTTGGAAAAGAAAAATAAATAAAATATTTACTTTAAGGGTAGAAATGTCAATTTAATATATCGGGGGGGGGGGGGGGGTGAAGTCGCCACTTTTAAAATAATTGAGGGGACTAATGTGCTTACATGAATAATTCAGGGGGAAAAAGTGCTATAAGTATATAACTCAGGGGAATAAATGTCATTTTCCCCTTTAAATTTTGTTTTAAAATAAGGGTATTTTCCTTTAATCAAATAGTCATTTACCTTTGGCTCACATTTTCCATTCCTTACCAAACACGGGAAACTCAAAAACATAATTTTCAAAAATCATTTTTCAAGTTTCCAAACACAACTCTAAATATAATGTAAAACACATATTTAAAAAAAATATATGTTAAGAAGTCCGAATAAGTTGAAAATTGTAATCATATCTTTTAATTTTTCTATCAATATAATTATTTTTTCAAAATAAATTTTAGTTTATTGTAATATATATATATATATATATATATATATATATATATATACATATATATATATATATATATATATACAACTATATTATAGAGGACTATGCGGACAAGTGTAGTCGTGTGCCATTAGTGTGTATGTCGTGTGCATGGCCTATTGTAATCGTGTGTCATAGTTTGTATGTCGTGTGTCATTAATCTGTATGTCGTGTGCATGGCCTAGTGTAGTCGCGCGTGTGCAATAGTTTGTATGTTGTGTGCATATGTTTATTAATTAATAAAGCATGAGTTCGAATCTGATGTTTAAATGTATGCCTCATGTGAATTCAACCCTATATATATATATATATATATATATATATATATATATATATATATATATATATATATATATATATAAAACGATAAATAAGTTACCTGGAAAGTGATCAAGTTTGTATGGCATAAGAGTTTCAGTACAAGATTTTGAATGTGTCCTCATTTTGCTACATGGGGTTAGATTTTATAATAGACAGTAGCTAAAGGTTACAAGGCTATCTAAGAACTACAACTGCTCTCTCAATAAGTGTCAATGCTCCATAGTAATTGAGGCGTTCTCCTCTATAAGTGCGATGGCTCTCCATAACATATGTTATTTGATGAGGCGGTGCTCTTAATAAAAACATGGGCTCTACTTTAAGTGTATTGTTCCATCTCCTTTGACTCTAACTGTTACTTATTTAACCGCCTTCACTGCTCTAACAGGCTAAACCAAGAGCGTCGAGTCAGGTCCGGTGCCTTGTCCAATTATCATCTCACCAGCCCCATACTCCCGAGCTACAAGTGCAGCGGAGTCAGCTAGGGAGTAATTAAATGTTGGACTTTGTCAAATAATTCATCATCAGTCCCATGCCCGTAGGCTACGAGCAAAGAAACGCAAGCTAGGAATTTTTCTCGTATAATAATAAAAATAATAATAATAATAATAATAATAATAATAATAATAATAATAATAATAATAATAACAACAACAACAATAACAATAATAACAATAATAACAATAATAACAATTTATATTATTTATTTTTTTTCATGCGAAATCGACGACGCAATCGAACTGGTCGCCTCGGTCACGTCATGTCCAAGGGCTGACCTCGACCATCGTGGCTGAGGTGCTGCCTCGGCCAAGCCATGGCCGGGGGCTAACCTTCGG